AGTGTTTCAGAGCAGCCCAGTGCTGTGAGGGTCACACCATCCAGCCCACTCTGTCTACCTGCTGGTGGACTTCTGAAAACCTAGCCTCAGCCCTGTTTGTACTTCTCCATGGTGAGTATGTGCAATTATTTCTTTCTCACAAATATATGAGCAGCATGTTGGGGGGGCGGGGTGTGGTGCCAATAAGGAGGCATACCTTATAACAAGTTTGTATGCACGGTACTCGTTCTTGCACTCATTTCTTCAGTGGAAGAAACCCGCAGGCATCAAATCTCTCACCAGCCGACTGCAACTTGGACCGTCCCTGAATTCCCAATCTTTCCTATACTCCAAACCCTTTCCCACCATCACATCCCCAGGGGTTCCCCAAACACACCACGCAGCTCTGCCACCTCCCATGCTCCACACTGTGTTCCCATGCCTGCTGAAACACCATCTCTGCTGGAAAACTCTCTCACCCAGTTCCAGGTTGTAATGAATCCAGTTCTCCATTAGCACTTGGTTGTATCTCAACTATTATTTTTACAATGGCCTGTTTTCCGATAGCTATTTCCTCCTCCCCTATCTGTTTGAGCCTGGATGTCAGGGACCCAGCCATTTTGTCTTTGCATCTTGCCCAGGGCACCACCTGCCATGTGGTGCTTTATAAACACACTCCTGGAGTAATGTGGAGAGAAAAAGCTCTGTGGGAAACCACAGAACAGGGAAAACTTACAAAAAGGAGGCCTGCCCTCCAGGGTCCACAGACATTTTTTCTTCTGTTGTTCTCAACTTCCTGTTGAAGACCTGAGATTAAACGCACTCCCAAGGAATGCTGTCCACTCTCCCCTCCTGCAGCCATAAAGCCTGGGGCTTCCGCCTAGGTGTGAGGTAGGAGGGCCAGGGGACTGAGTTGCTGAGCCAGCCCCTCTGAACATGGCCTGATCCACAGGATGGGCAGTGTCAGCCTCCGGAAGACTAGGGGCCCCAAAAGTGGACTTCCCAACTCCCTTCCTTGTAGCTGTGGATGAGTCACTTTTGTTCTGTGAGCCTCAGGTGTCCTATCTATAAAATGGGTAGAATATGTGCCTCATGTAGTGAGAAGGGTAAAGGACTGAGGACCCTAAGAGCTCCTGCTGAAAGCCCCCCTCACGTGTACTGCGCTGTATTCCTCAGATGGGCTGGGTAAACACCTACTCTCCTAGACTCAAACAGAAGGATGTGGGAACAGCTTGTACTTTCCTATCAACACAAATTTGGTCTTTCAGCAAAAACCTAAATGGCATTCCTGAGCCTTAACAGTCCCTCCTGGACATTCTGTGATTCCAGACTGGATCAGCTCCCATTCAGATGCTTGCTGAATACTTCCTCGACTTGAAATGTCTCCAGGAAGCAGCTGCCGAGGAACCCAAGACTAGCTTTGGGCCCAGACCTTTATCTTGTTCCCCACTTCCGAGCCTACCTCATGAAAATAACACAGCACTCTGTAGGCTCTATCCTGCCCAAGCGGACCACAAACAGGCAAAGTGACGAATCTGAGGAAGACAACCTTCTGTGAGGACGTGAGCCTGAAGGAGAGGCTCCGGAGCTGGTGCTTCGCTTGGGGCCGGGCCTCCAATGCACCACAGCACACTTCCCTTCTGCAGATGCCTGTCCCTCTGTGTTCATTTCCCAGGGGTCTCCAGTCTCCCAGATCTGGCCCTTGAGTTCCTTGTCATGTTCTCTTCCCTTCCATTCCCTGTTCTAAAGCTCAGGCCCTCTGCCCACACCACAGATGGCTCCTTGCGCCCACTGTGTCCTCTGCCCTCTCCCCACCAGCACCCCCACATGACACCACACACACTCTCCTGCCCTCCCAAGCTCTCAGCCCCTGGGAACAGGCGTTGTCTTTGTTCGCTGCTCCACTCGTAGCACTTGGCTCATCATGGCCCACGGAGAGCAGACGACTGAGAGCGCCCTGGCCACCAGCGGCCTGTGCAGGGCCTGGTACTCTGCCCTGACAACAGATGTGCAGCCTGGAAAGGACCTGCATGCACACCCTGCTCCACCACTGGCATTCTCACGGGCTGCATGGGGGCATGGGCCCCTCAGTGGCTGAGGGTCCAGCTACAAATCAGCATCTTAGAGGGAAGGGGCAATGGTTTCACTGGTGAGGCTCCAAGGAGGAGAACTGGCACACTGCATGGATGTCCTACTTAGCCAGCCTCCTTCCTGATACTCCCTAAACTGTGTCACCGGATTCCAAACACTTGCATGACCCGGAATGCTCAATGGCATCTATTATCTTCCCAGGGACTAGCAAGTGCAGGAAAAGAAAGTGCTAGCACCACACTCAGGCCAGGAGGACAAGAATTCACCCCAGATAGCCAAGGGCCTTGTTTAACCTGACAGGACAAACAGAAGCCCACTGTTATGGAATGAAAAAGACCATATGGCATCAGGGTCCCCAGTTCAAGATCTCAGCTGCCTCTTGGTAGTTGTGGGGTCAAAGTCAAACTACTTTTGAGTCTGTTTATTCATCCAAAAACAGGGTTACCAACGCAGCCTCCAACAGCTGCTGAAAGGCCTGAGGTGATGGGACATGTGTAGCACAGCACATGGCATGCAGTGTGCACATAAGAATTGTAAGGAAAATGGAAAACAGACCTCAGACAGCACCTGAGTGACAGTACATTGAGATACAAACTGTTTGGTAAAAGAATCTGTGCTCTCAAGCCGTGGCTAAAAGCCGGCGCTTTCAGGAAATTCCAAGTGGAACAGGAAGCAGCATATTTTCCCAAATAATTTCCACTTCATCCCTTTTATTTCCAGTCTACAGTTCTTCATGACCCTCTTTACTGAACTACTGCTCTTCAGAGATGACTTTATCACTTTTACCTCTGGTGGGAGTTGCAGCTGGATGCTGTCTGGGCTCTTAAAGAGAAGAATGGAATCTTGCCATTTGCAACAACACAGATGGACCTAGAGGGTAGGACCTACAGAATATTATGCTAAGTAAAATGAGACAGAGAAAGACAAATACCACATGATCTCACTTACACAGGGAATCTAAACAAATGTACAAAACAGCAACAGACTCATAGACACAGAGAACAAACTGGTGGCTGTCAGAAGGAAGGAGGTGGGCAGATGGGCAAAACAGGTGAAGGGGGTCAAGAGGTAAAAACTTCCAATTATAAATAAGATATAGGGATGTGAGGTACAGCACAGGGAGTATCATCAGTAATATTGTAATGATTGTACACTGACAGAGGGTAACTAGACATATTGAGGTGATCATTTCATAAATATATAAAAATAACCACTATGTTGTACAACTGCAAACTAATCTAATATTATATGTCAATTCTACTTCAATAAAAAGAGAAAAAAAAGAATAAGCAAAGTGATGACTCCAACCTCCCAGGACAGAGATAGGCGACATTACAGAGGAGGAAGCCCTGGGCCAGCCGGGAGGCGGGCTCCTCCTGGCTCTTGGGGCACCTGTCTAGCTCATGTCTCTCTGAGCTTCTGTCTCATCATGGGTATAAAGAGGCAGAGGTCAGATCTCTGGGCCCCTTCCTGCTTTAACATGATCTGATCGTATAAAATAACCAGAGATTCTCCTTAGTCCATGGCACTTGCTCCAACAGTATGCATAGAAGCTTTGTCATATGGGCTGCCGACAGATGCCTGGTGCAAGCCACCCCTGTGGGAAGGTGGGAAGGCTGGTCAATTCCTTCCATTCACCAGCTCTGAGGAGACTGAGGAAGGGATGCCAGGACTGTTCTCAGGAAGAAGTCTCATCCTCACCTACCACAGAAGCCATGCTGCTGCCAGGGACACTGGGTCCTCAGCTTCTGAAACCTGGGGCATAGACCACATATGGAACATTTTACAGAATCTTTTTAAAGGACAGGCAGCATTTACTGATTCTAAAACTGCGGTAAAAATTAAGGCTCATAGAACAGATTACCTGGAACTGACCAGGAACAAAATCTGTTTCTAGATCAGTTTTCTGGTGGGTGAGGGAGTAAGAGTTTGAGGTAAACTGGAGCACACCAGCTGAGTTCTCTTCTATTAACTCCTGACGCTCTTCCAGCTCACCAAGTTGCTGATGCAGTCAGTTGAAAAGCCAGAATGGCAGATGTTGGCTTCATCTCCTTTTTAAGAGTTTTGCTGAGCAGAGCAGACCCTGTCTCTGGCTAAGTACTGCTCATTCCTTTATGAGTTACTAAGGTTACCACATAAGATACAGGATACCCAGGTAAATCTGAATTTCAAACTAATGGCACATCATTTTTTTTTTTTGCTATAGTATGTCCCCTGCAGTATTTGGAGCATATATATGGGAAACGTGATGTATTGTTTATCTAAAATTCAAATTTAACTGAGCACCCTGCATTTCTATTTCTAAATGTGATAACCCTAATTACAACCATTTCAAGCAAAGACTAGTTGGTTCTTAGTCTCAAAAGTATAACAACATCCCGAACTCAACTTCTCCTCTGCCCAAACAAAAAAATTTTAAAAACAAAACCTGCATTTTTATTTCCAGGACATGTTTTTAAAAAATATGACTATCCAACAAACAAAAAAAAAGATGTATCTTCTATGTATCTTCTTAAAGTCCCCCTATATTAAGAGCTCAGCTCGTCAATGGCCACAGGCACTGGTGCCAGCTAGCTCCTTGGGCAACCCCAACTCAGAAGCAACTGGCTTCTGACTCATCAGGGTAGTGAGGTGGGGTGGGGGTGGGGAGAAAGAACAGAATTCAGAGGCGGCTACTTCCTCAAAGAGGGTGCCAGGAAGCAGTGCTGGAACTCAAGCCACAGCACACACAAATCCCTCCACAAAGAGCAACATCCACCACAAAGACAAGTGAACTGTGAGATAAAAGAAAAGTTACTGATTTTACAGGTACCAGACACCCACCCCTACACATGCAACCCTTCCCCCAGTGGTTAGTGTCCTGGGCAGCTGGAGCAGCGAAGCCAAGGGGAGCGCCCCATGCTCCAGCAGGTGAAGAGACAAACACCTTCTCAAGGTTTCTGAAATTTGCATTTATTACTCTGACTCAGAGTTATTCATATAATTCAGAGGTCTTAAAATTTTATTTTGTATGGTCATACACTCTGAATGACCAGCTCACAAACCCAAGACAGTTTTTTTCTAAGGTTGCACTTCAAAACGTTGTGACTGTTGTCTTGGGCAAGAAGTCCTAACTGACGAAGACATTACACTAATGAAGAATCAAGAATGATGTGCTGGTACCACAGATTACAAACTGGCTCTAAGCAAGCCATTCCCCCACCTCTCACTGCAACGGGATCAAGAGCTAAAAATACCTTAGGAAAATCAAATGGTACCTGTAACCCACTCTTATACAAAGTTCAAGCTTGTAAATTATATTCCAGGGTAATCAAAAGAGAGTGAAGTATAAAGCTAAAATCTGGTGGATCTTCTCACTTCCTCTTCTTCGTGGAATACAGTTTTTCTTCAAGTGGGATTGGGACAATCCCTTCACACTCTTTTACTTCCTGGGTCAGAGGGTGTTTTACAATATTCGGTCTAATCACGTCAATGTCTCGAGACAAATGGTCCATTATGCTTTCAACCGTTGTTGTTGGTGCATAAAAATCCACCAAGAAATACCTGCAATAAAATAAAAACCTGTGAATTCCTGCTTTCTGAAATAACACTTCCACCATGTTGGTCTATGTTTTCATTTCACTCCTCCTCAAAAAAAGACATCAACTACACACAAACAGACACACACCTTTGTCAAAACAGAACTCTTAGCTGACTGGCTAAGCAGAAGTATAATAGCAAGTTCCATTTCCCTTTTCCTATGACTTTCCCCATTACACTCTTGTGAAAATCCAAATCCAAACCAATTTTGAAGGGTAGTAAAAAAGTACTGTGACATTACATACGGTGGGCAATACGGAAATGATGGTAAAATTATGGGTGCAAGCACAGAATCTGCTGTGCAACAAGACTGAATAATTATTCAAACCATTAGTTGGTATTTTTCTATTAAAACATCTATTAGGTCTTCTTCTACTTTTCCAAAGGACTTGGCCAGTAACTCAATATACCTAAGAGATACAGTAAATACCATCAGCCACATCTCACAAACAAGGAAAAGGAATAAAAACAGCCTGGGACTTGTCTAAGACTATTCTGCATGTTTAAGAACTGACAAGAAATGAAAATAAAATTAACTGAATCATGAGTAAGGGAAGAATTTAACATTCCTCCACTCAGACCAGATTAATATAGATGGGCCTCTCCTATAGCTCACTAGTCTTACAAGATCAGCAACATCAGCTGGATGACTACACAAAGGAAGAAGCATCCTTACTCCCTGCCCACCCCTCCTCTCAGTTCTGAAAGTTTAAGGCTCCCTTGTGCCGTCTGGTTTGGACCTGTGTTGTGAAGGGACAGTTTTCAGTGCAGGATGTCAGAATTCTGCAGTGTTCCAGCTGCTTAGGATGGCCTTTTGACATCACTAATTTTGTTTCAGCCACACTCCTCCCCCAAGCGTATTCGCATCCTAGGTCTTTTGCACTCACTGCTCTTTCTGTGAGAAATGTTTTTTGCCCAAGTTCCACATAGCTCATCCCTCCCTTCCATTATGTCCCTGTCCAAGTGTCACCTTGTCGGAGGGTCCTTCTTTGACCACTTCTAAAGCAACATCCTCCTTGCCCCATCCATCAAGTCTCATTACTTTACACATTATTTTTTCCCATAGCACTTTATCATCACTGATAGAATACGTATATGTTTACTGTCTGTCTCACTCCACTAACAATTGCCCTAGCAACTTTGTTGCTATATCCCCAACACCTGAACTGAGGCTAACATGCAGCTTGTCCACAGTAAATATTTGACAGTGGTAGTGTTAACGTGAAAGGTGGAATTCTCACAAAAAGCAAAAGAGACAGACTAGAAAATGGACAAATTCAGCAAGGAGGGAAGTTATGAGAAAAATGATGGCATTTGGGTAATTCCATATAAAGTGGGTTCAAAACTCATAAAACAACTTCCCGGTGATCATTCACTCTTAACTAAGCTTAGGGGGAAAGTCATTCAAGGACAGAAAAGCACATACCATGCAAAAACACCAATCAAAAGAAAGCTCAGCTGGCTATAGCTGTATCAGACAAAGTGAATTTCAGAGCAGAGAAAATTACAAGGCATAAAAAAAGACAATATATGAAAATGGGTCCACCAAGATAACACAACAATACTAAAAGTACATGTGCCAGGTAACAGTTTCAACATATAAGAAGAAAAATGAACAAAACTGAAAAGAGAAATAGACAAGTCCACAATTATAGGTGGAGACTTCTAACATTCTCTTAGTAATGGACAGAACTAGTATACAGAAAATCAGCAAGGATATAGAAAAAGTGAACACCAATATCAACCAACTGGAACTGACATTTATAGAACTTTCACCCAACAAAAGCAGGATACATGTTGTTCTCAAGTGCACACAGAACACTTACCAAGGTTGACCATATTCTGGACCATAAAACAAGTCTCAATAAATCTACAGGTATTCAAGTCATATAAAAAAGCCTTGGAAAATCCTCAAATACTTGGAAACTAAGCATACATCCAAATAATGTATAGATCAAGAAGTCAAAAAGAACATTGCAAAATACTGTAAAATGAATGAAAATGAAAACAACATCAAAATTTGGGGGATACCATTAAAGCAGTACTTAGCAGGAAATATATAAGATAAAAATTATATAAGAAGAAAGACATCAAATTAATGATCTCAGCTTTCACCATAAGAAACTGGAAGAAGAGCAAATTAAATGCAAAGTAAAAGACTACAATAAAGATCAGAGCAGAAATCCCTGAAACAGAATACAGTGAAACAACAGAGAACATTACTGAACCCAAATACTAGTTCACTGAGATCAACAAAGTGATAATAACCCTCTAGGCAGAATGATCAGTAGAAAGAAATAAGAGACTAGTAATATTCAGGAATGAGAGGTAAAATGACTACAAATCTTACAGATGTTAAAAGGATGGTAAGAGATTACAATCAATTTTTGCAACAAATTTGACAACATACATGAAATTCCTCGAAAAATACAAACCACCAAAACACATTCCAGAAGAAATAAATACCTGAATAGCTCTGTATCCTATTAAAGAAATTAAATTTGCAGTTAAAAAACCTTCCCATAAAAAAAAAAATAAAACAACAAAAATACAGGCCCAAGTGGCTTCACTTGTGAATTCTACAAATGTTTAAAAAAAAAATACCAATTCTGATACAAACTCATCCAGAAAATAGGAAAAAACTCTTCTCAACTTGTTCTATGAAGTTAGCATCAATAGACAAAGACATACAAGGAAAAAGAAAAAACAATATCCCTTATGAACATAAGGGAAAAAAATTCTAAAAATTTTTTTTAACAAATTTGACTACAATATATCAAAAGCACAGTACATCATGACCAGGTAGGGTTTATCACAAGAACACATAGTTGTTCTAACATTTGAAAAAAAATCAATGTAAATCACCGTATTAACAAACTAAAGAAAAATCATGTGATCATTCCAATAGATGCAAAAAAAAAGCATTTAACAAAATCTCATATCCATTCCTGATAAAACTCTCAGCAAACTAGGAATAGAAGGGAACTTCTTGAACTTTTTTATGAAGGACATCTGAAAAACCTAAATGCTTTCCCTCTGGGGTTGGTAATAAACAAGGATGTCTGCTCTCACCATTTCTATTCAACATTTTACTGGTGGTTCTTGACAGCGCAGCAGGGAAGAAATAAATAAATAAATAGAAGGCATGCAGATTGGTAAGGAAGAAGTAAAACTGTCTTTATTTGCAGAGGACATGATTGTATATGTAGAAAAATCTGAAGAAATTTATAACAAAGATACTAGAGTAAGTGAGGTTAGCAAGGTCTCAAGATACAAAAATCAACTGTACTTCTACATACTAGCTACAAGTAATCACACCTTGAAGTTAAATATGAAATTCTTATTTAGGGATAAATCTGACCGAATGTGTTAAAGATCTATACATTAAAAACCACAAAACACTGCTGAAAGAAATTATAAGAAAAGCCACATAAATGGAGATGTATACTTTGTACATGTGTAGGAAGATTCGAGTTTATTTATATGTCAATTCTCTAAAATTGATGTATAAATTCAAAATCCCAATCAAAATCCTGGTCAACATCGTTAGAAATTGACAAACTGATTCTAAGGTATAAATTCAAAATCCCAATCAAAATCCTAAGCAACTTCATTAGAAATTGACAAACTGATTCTAAGGTACATATGGAAATTCAAAGGACCTAGAACAGCCAAAACAACGTTGATAAAGAATAAGGACTGGCACTACCCGATTTCAAGATTTATTACAATGTTATGGTAATCAAGACAATATGGTACTTGTACAAAAATACACAAATAGATCAATAGAATAGAGTCTAGGAATAGTCCATACATAAATGCGCAAAAGATCTTTGACAAAGGTGCAAAGGCAATTCCATAGAGAAAGGATAGATTTTCAACAAAGGTTGCTGGAACAATTTGATAACCATACAAAAAAATGAACTTTGATCCATACTTGTATCACATACAAAAATTAACTCAGAATGGAACATGGATCTAAATATAAAACATAAAGCTATAAAACTAGAAGAAAACACAGAAGGAAACCTTTGTGACTATGGGTTATGCAAAAATTCCTTACACATGACACCAAAAGCAAAACCCATAAAAGAAAAGTTTGAAAAATGAGACTTCAACAAAATTAAAAATTGCTTTTTGAAGAATGGTGTTAAGATAATAAAAAGACAGACTGGAATTTACGAATCACATGTCTGATAAAAGACTTGTTTCTAGAATATAAAGAACTCTCAAAATCTAATTTAAAAACAAAAAAACCCAATTAAAAAAAATAGGCATAAAATTTAATGGGCATTTCACTAAAGATAGATATACAATGACAAAATAACACATGAAAAAGATGCTTAACACCATTAAATAATTAGGGAAATGCAAATTAAAACCACAAAGAGATACCTACTGAAATGGCTAAAATTAAAAAAGCCTGATGACCTTACCAACCTTGGGGAAGATACAGAGGAACTGGCATTCTCATACACTACCAGAGGGAATGCAAAATGATACAACCACTTTGGAAAACAGTTTGGCATTTTCTTAAAAGTTAAACACACACTTCCATCATGATCAAACCATTTTACTCCTCAGTATTTACCCAAGAAGAGTAAAGCATGAATCCATACAATCTGTACATGAATGTTCATAGCAGTTTTATTTGTAATGACACAAAACTGGGAATAATACAAATATCCATCAACACGTAAACTGTTAAGTAAACTGTAGTATATTCATACAACAGCATACCACTCAGAAATAAAAATGCTAAATTGTTGATATTATTGGTGGCTCTCATAATAATTTTGCTGAATGAAAGAAACTACAGTGAAAAAGAATATACACTATCTGATATCATTTAAATAATTAGATTCTACAAAATATAAACTAATCTATACTGAGAGAAAGCAGATCTGAGGAGAGAAGAATCACAAAGCCAAGAGGGAACTTGACTGTGGTGACTTCATAGGTAT